GCTAGGGTAAATGGTCATTCGGTCCGCGGCGGGACGCCTATGCAATTAGGGTTTGAAAAAGTCAAAGGGGATGACTGTTGACACGACGGTCAAACGGCTAGACCTATTCCTTCGGAAGAGAATTAACGGTGAATAATGCAAATGGCAAATAATTAAGCGACAGTACGAAATATGGGAGAGCATGTAAGAATAGTAACGGAATTGAAAACAATAGCGACGATTGCCTCGCATAAATTACAAACCAAAATGAAATATGAAAATAAAAGATTAATAATTGTACAACTGAGAAAACAATGAATGAGATGGCATAAAAATATAGACGAAATTAATGGGGCAAAGTCGGAGCTCAAGTCTGCAGTTAGGCGACAATATTACGCGAACCTGAAACTGAAAATGCTAGACAAATTTTTAGGAAAAAAGATTTAATATTGGTGAAAAAATTTACAAAAGGAATTTTAATTTTACAAATTAAAATCTCTAAGTGTGGGAATTTGTTAAAAATTTTAAGAAATGTTTTAGTTAATTAAAAAATGGGTTTTAATTTTTTTAAATGCTTTAATTATTTAAATGTTTTTTATATTTCCTAATTAAACTAAATTAATACATCCTAAGCTAAAAATAAAATAACAAAAATTAAAAAACACAGACTGAATTAAAAAGGGGAGGGGGCGGTCAATGCAGTAACATTTAGGGTTTTCTTTAGAAACCCTCTTCCTCCTTCGCCATCTGCTGCGGCGCCGTTTCCATTTTTGTTCCTTGCTCTGAGTTTTTCATCTTCTTCCTGGCTTGCATGTTGTCGCGAAATGTTTTTCCTTTTGTTCCTGCAAAAAAACAAAATGAACCGTTAATCCCGAGAGGTTGCTCACCTTTCCTTTTTTTGGGTTTGAAGTAGCCTTTCTCGTGGTGATGGTCTTTGAGATCCTTGTTGGTCGTTGATCTTGATGACATATTTTGAATGATGATGATAGTGAGCGAAGCTCACACCGGAGATGGTGATGAACGCGCAACTTTTCTCTTTTTTCTTCTGATGAACGGATCCCCCCCTTTTGTTCTTGATGTCCCCTTTTTCTAATCTGACGAATCTCTTTTATATTGAGGATCTCGTGGGCCTGGGCGTGTTGCTATTATGGTTTTTTTTCACGATTTTGTGGTTGTTTCGTTACAATTTTTCAAGAGATTTTGTTGCTTATTGTTTTGATGGTTATGGACCTCGCGTTTTTCATGGTGGTTGGCGGTTGTTACTGCGATAAGTTTGTTGCATTTTTGGAGGTGATTTGATCTTAACCTTGACCGGTTGCGTTTGAATTCATTATGCTTCAGATTTAGAAGTTGGTTGTTTGATCTTGTTACACTGCAGGATCTTTTGGAAAGCTGTTTGTGACTTGTTTGGCAAAAATCTATTTTTTTAGAATAAGTGCTTTTTCCAAAAGCACTTTTTTTAGAATCACTTTTCCAAAAATCACTTTTCTAAAATCACTTTTTCTCTCTCCTGGCATGAATTAGAACAGATGTTGCCGGGTCGGTGCCAGGGTCAGAAAATAAAAAGTCGGGAGTCAGCGCCGACTTTGTCGTTGTTGCCCTCCCGACATACTCGATGATGAAAATTAACTGAGGGTATCGGAACCGATCAAAAACTAATTTTATTAATTAAATTATTTTCATCTGTTGATTTGTTTTGCAGGTCTGAGAAATTGAGGATTGAAGATCGGCGCGAAGACAATTTTTAGGAAAAATAGGACTTTTTAGAATTTAGGAATTAAAATTGTATTTGTAATTAATCTTTGTAATATTGTAATAAAACTATAGAATAAATAAATTCTATTTTCCTATTAAATTAAAATTATTTCTCCGATCCAATTTCTCCTGATAATCATCTGATTAAACTCAATTAAATAAATTCCTTTAATTAAGTTTATCCGACTAAATTCAACTGATTAAGTTCCTCCAAATAAATTTGTCCAGATAAATTCATCCAATGAAATTCGTCCAACTGAGTTCATCCGCTTAAATTCACACAAATAAATTCATTTGGTCCAATCTACCCGACTAATTCATCCGATTAAACTCGTCCAAATAAATTCACCTGATTAAGTTCATCCGATTAAAACTCTAATTAAACTTATCCAACCAAATCGGTCTGATTAAATTCATCCAATGAAAATTATCTGATTACGCTTCGACGTTCCAAACTCTGAATTCGACAATTAATCATCCTGCATGATTTAAACCTGACAAAACTGTTGAGTTCAAACAAACCCTTTTGCAAATTAATTCGCATCCGATAATAAAACCGATGAATATGGCCTTGAACGGATAAGTAGAAAAATCTGATTAAACAGCGAAACGAACCGCACTCCGCATTGAAAAATTCCCATCGTATCTCGAATGACTTAACTAGGGCACCTAAATCGGCTTGACTAGTAATCATTATCAGCCCACAGATGTTCATTATAAATTCAATGCGAACTGAAATTCCACTATTTTCTTTAAAATCGACCGCTGACTAGCAGAAAGCAGGGAAACGTGCGTCTGTTAAAATAAGTTCCGCAAAGCAAATTCTCGCACCGATTTAACCCGAATCCACTGATATCTCAACACATTCAGCTCCATATGATTTAGGAATCAACAACATTTCTGAAATCCAACTGACGAGTGAATCTCGACTCTTGAATAAAATGTGTTGTGTCACGAGAAATCTAACGTCAAAAACTGTCGTAAAATTCAGCTCATCCTCAAATAAGTCACAGGACTCGGAGATGGAAACCCTAATCGCTCGAGGGATTCCTGAGGACGCCTTTGCTTCATAAATTATCAGCGAACTACAAATTAATGACCATTTTGCCCTTCATAAGCTAAAGAGCGCACATTGTGATTTTTCTGCAAAACCAACAGACTGAGCAAACTGGTTAGCGGTTAGTTTACAATGCAATGCAAAATGAGATGAAATGCAAAATGAACCGACTAATCTAAGGGTGAAATTTAGGGTATTATAGGTATCAAAAGATTACATTCAAACCCCAACAAGAGATCAAAAATCTTACCTCTTCCCTCTTAGAGTTTTGTATTTCTCTTTCTAAAATAAACTTGAAACAAAGAGAGATAAGTTCTGATGTAAAAATTATATATCTTCTTTCTAAAAAGCAAGAAAAATACTTATATAGTACATTCAGGATCTGTCTTGTTCGCACTGCGAACAGATCCTCCGCCTAGCGAAAACCAAATTAGGCACCTGAGGTGCCTCTGAACAATTAAACCGTCCTTGAAAAATATCTAAACTTTGCCGTGTGAGCAATTCTTCGCACTGCGAACCATCTCGCTATAAGTTCGCACAACGAGTTTCAGTTTCTTTTCTCTCTGAGTGAACAGTAACTAGTCTCCCAAAGGTCTTCGCTAGCAAGTTCGCTGTGCGAAGTTGGTGATGGCTTTTCTGGGGAAGTTCGCTAGGAGCTTCGCACGGAGAACTTCTTGATGATTTTATGATGTCTTGGTTTCCTTGCCCAATTTCTTATGTCTTACTGTTCTTTTGTTTTGTGCCTAATTCCTGCACAATAACACACAAATCAAAACAACCAAGGCATTTTCCAACAATGAAGCATATCATCTAAGACATGAGTGATTCTAATCACTTTCACCTACAAAAAGAATGAAAGATATTAATATTTGATAGATCAAATAAGCAAAGTTTGACATCTAACATAGTGTTCGGTCCTTCTTCTTTAATGTCGTTTCTCATAGCTTGTTCATGATTTCAGCATTGGCTATGGTGTTATTTGTTCTCTTTGTTTTGAGATTTTCAAATAAACTTTCATGAAGGAAAATAATGAAAAGAAGATTAAAAAATAGAGAGAGAAAGGAAGAGAAAATGAATTTTGTAGGGTGAAATGAAGAGAAAGGGAAGAAGACAATGGTGAAGATTTTTATAAGATGATATGAAGATAAAGGGAAGAAGACACCGGTGAAGAATTCTATAGGATGATAGGAAGAGAAATGGTAGAAGATAATGGTGTAGAATTTAAGAGAAGGGGAATCATGAGAGAGATCTTTTCATTTTTATTGAAACCCTGACAAATGATGGTATATAAGTAAACGACGGAAAGAGGGAAACTTCATTAAATAAAGTAATATATGTTTCAAAAACAGAGAAATAAAAATGAATTGAACCATTAATTAAAATCAAATAGGTTATTAAATACTCCACTCATACCAGTTTAAAAGAAAAAAACACTAATTTTTCTTGTTACAAATTATTTTTAAAAAAAAAACCAAACTTTATTTCATTTAACCATTTTATTCTAAAATATTCATCTATTTTTTAACAATATTAAGAGAAATGATATTCTTAAACCTAATTCCTACGTCTATATCTAAATTGATATAGACTAAATCCTTCTCAATTTAAGTATGAGTTTTAATCCATCATTTGAAATTTAGCCTATACTTAAATACACGTATAAAAAAGATTTACACATTTATTAATTTACAATTTTTGTTTTCAATTCTTGGAATTATATTTAAAACGTAATTAATAAATAAAAATTCTATAAAGTAACTTACTACTACTACCATTTATCTTACATTAGTAAAAAAATAATAATACTCGGCAATCACCTATAGCTACGTCAGCATGCAATTTCACACTGTAAACCATCTTGAGCGTTTAATGTATATCAGACGGTTCATATTGCACAGTTATTTCACACAAACATCAATCGTCGATTCAGATCGGACGGCCAAGATGTAGTCTTATGTAAAACAGTTAATGCGTCTGATCCAATTCCGAAAATCCTTCTCTGTTTTTGTTTTCAACATTTATGACTGAGACTATTCCTCATAAATTTTCTTGTGAAGGGAATCTTTTGTTGCAGAATCTGAGGAAATATAATCATTACCAAAATCAACAACTTTTCTTCGTTATACTTACCACATTGTTTCTCCAACATTTTCCTCAGAATTTCGATATAATCAATAATTGTTTTTTTTTTCTTCTGAATTCTGTTTATATGTCACCAACAAGACAAAACAACAATAGGATGATGATGAGTAGTCCTAACGTTGTTCCTCCGAAACATAGGACAAAGATTTTTGTTGGAGGATTGGCTTGGAAAACCAAAACAGACACACTGAAAACCTATTTTGATCAGTTCGGTGAGATTCTTGAAGCTGTTGTCATCATTGACAGAAACACCAGAAAATCAAAAGGATATGGCTTTGTAATTTTCACTCTCTTTTACTTGTAATCTCTAGTAATTACAATTTTGTCTTTGTTAATTTTTTGTATTTTTTGTATTTTTTGTGTTTTTTGTGTTAGGTTACTTTTAAGGATCCAAATTCTGCTATAATTGCTTGCAAGAATCCTAATCCTGTGATTGATGGAAGAAGAACTAATTGTAATCTTGCATCTCAAAAATCTAATCCTCCATCATCATCATCAACAGGTGATCATTGTTTTTTATATCTAAAATTTCGTGATCATTGTTTTTGTAGTAATTCTGATTTATTTTACCGTTTCTCAGGAAGACAGAAGTTTAATAGTCCTTCATGGAACAATGCACCATTACAATTTTCAAGCTCCTCTAATTATTATGATCAATATCTACCTCAGTATTCACACTCTTATCCTGTTTATAGGTATGTAACATCACCTACACTTTAGATTGAAAACGAGTATGGAGTTTCAGATACTACTATAGTAGTATTTGACACATACACGATCTTAACCTATGTAGTTACATTCAATTATTTCATTGTCAGGTATTGTTACCCTGGTTATCTTTGTCCACAAGACATCTATGATATGGTTAGTTTAAGAAGTACTAATTCATTTTCTTTGATTTCAGCTTTTGTTTCGTGAATCTAAATTGTTTAGTTTTGTGTGCAGAACTATCCTAATGGATATGGTGGACCACAATTTCCAGTTCCGTTGTATCCACCATATTACCAACCATTTTATGGCTATAGTAAGCAATTAGTTCCAACAACATCATATGTGAAAAAGACACAATTCCCTGAACCTATTACTACCACTGGTTGGTTGCATTGTTTTGGTATATCTAATCAGTTACTATTATTTTATTTGACTATAAATTTCTTGAATCATAACTAATTTATAAATTTGTTTTGCATTGGATTTAAACAGGAGTGATCACAGAAACAGTAGCTGCAACAAGAGATCAAACATCTTCTGATTAAATAGGAGTTTGATTAGAACAAAGAAGGCAAAAACAAAATGACAATGTTTAATAAAGTGTAAAGTTTTAAGAAAAATGTTCAATGATTTGGTTTAGCAAAATAACTATAGATGAAATAGGTGATTTTATGAAATAAATCAGAATTTCTTCATTTTCTTGAAAATTTTACTGTGTGAATATGCATAGCACTCAATCTTTAGTTATTCTTGTTTATCTTTTCTTGCTACATTATTATTATTATAGTTTAAAGATAGAAATTTCAGAATGCTCAGCAATTTTAACTTCTATTTGACGAATTGATCTTTTTGTTTTTCTTACTATATAAACGAACGTGTTGAAAAACTTTCAGCTTATCGTGTATGTTATTGCACAATCTTAAAGTACTATAATTGTGTGCTAATAAAATATTATTGATACGTTGATGATTTGTATAAATTATGTCAATTAATTGATATTAATTATCATGATTAATACTATGTCGATGAGAATTATACTACCTTTTATGATTTTTCTACATAATTAAGTTGCATAAAAGATCGGAGAAAAAGTTATAAAAAGAAAAATAAATGTGTAATTTTTGGATCAAATATATTCTGATAGGATTGTTGTTACAGATATTTCTATAATTTTCTCAGAGGCAATATTTTGTTTCATGTATAAGTACAAAAACAATTTGTTACTAAACATAAATAATAATACATATGATCATATATTAGAATTTCTCTTCCTTAATTTATTGCACAATTCTCTCTTAAAATTTTATGAAGATTTTAAAATATCAGTAGTTTTTCTTACACAAAAGTATTAGTATATTTTAAGAAGAAAACGAAGATACGATTTTTTAGGTGTTGTTTTTACTATTTTTCAATAAAAATATTACACATGTATTTAAATACCGTTTAATGAATAAAAATAGGAAAAAATTGCATGTTTATTAGAGAAAATTATACATTTACCATATTTTTAATGAAAAATAGTAAAAACAATATCTAAGAAATTATATCTAAGTTGTTTCCATATTTAAAATATTATTATTTATTAAACTTTTAAATGTTATTAAATTTTTTGTTTTGATACAAATGATACGTCTGGTTTGCAAAATGAAAAATATTTGACAAAAAATATTAAATAGTAGACAATTGGATCTATCCAACATATTTTAAGAATCCAATGAATTATTTTTATTTTCGTTAGATTTATTTTTTTTAAATAATCAAAAATAGATTTTTTAAAAGAAAAGAATTGATTTTTTTCAAATAAAAAAACCGAAATTTTTCAAAAAAAATCGAATTTTATTTCGGAAAAAATGATTTTTTTTCCAAAATAAAAAGCTGATTTGTTTTTCGAAAAAAAAAACCGATTTTAAAAAAAAACGATTTTTTTCCGAAACAAAAAACTAATTTTTTTTCTTATAAAAAAATTAATATTTTTTAAAAATTAAAATATCAATTTTTTTCCTGAAAATACAAAAAATTCAATTTTTTCATGAATATATTAAAAAACATTTTTTTTAAATACAAAAAATGAATTTTTCGAAAATAAAAAAATACATTTATTTTTTTGAAATAAAAAAAAAGTTGGATGGATGGATATCCATCCATTAAAAATATGTTAATGGATGAATTTGATAAATTTTATTCTTAATGGATGGATTTGATCAGATAATTTTAAAAAAAAAATTAGTGGATTGTTAATGGACTAATGGATTGTTTTAATCCATCCCTTAAAAAAATTAGTGGATTGTTAATGGACTAATGAGAAATTTATTATATTTCTACGGAGAATTAACACAATCACTATACTCAATCCATTGGTGTATAACTCACTAATTATCACTTGCGGTCTCCTATCCCTGTTCAACCAGCGTGTGTGAAATTAGGCGATGCAAGAGAACAATAATTCAAATGCCACTACTCGGGATCTCTTATCTCTACTCAACCAGCGTAAGTACCACAATTGCTCTAGTTCCAACACATACACTAATGGTCAGTATTCTCTATGTGCCAAAGATTAGATTCAAAGTGTCTCACATAAAAAACATTAAGTAAAATAAGCAATTGAATAGAAATATAACTCCAATTATTCATGAAATGACAAATTAAACATATGTCCCAACAGGTTCAAAATAAGTTTATCAAACAAAATCTAACTTAGAGATGTTTAACTCCTCATAACGATGCAATCAAATATCAAATGATTAGATGAAGATTTCATCTGAAAATCCTTAAAGAACTGACCTCCAATGGCTTTCAATCTTCTTAAAATTGCTCTCTAGGTGCTCTTTACTATCACTTTCATTCTAAAATCGCAGAACCCTTAAAAATATGCAAAAAAAACTCCTTTTTATAGATGTTAAATCAGTCTAGAACGCGTCAAAAATAGGCCCAGAAAAGGACCTATCATGAGGTGATAGATTTTATTGCGCGCACGGTGCTGACAAAACTTTTATATCACGTGCATGATGTTGCACATGATTATTCCAGTAGTTACACGTTTTTTGCTCATTTTTCCATCAGATTTTTACCAAGTCCTTATTTCTTCATACTTGGTCATTTTTGCATCTTTCTTTGGCCTTTATTCTTCATTTTTCTACTCTTTGACTTGTTTTGATATGTTTCTTTAACCGAAAACATGCACTGACAGAGTGTCATCACAACCCCAAACTTGAATCGTTGTTTGTCCTCAAGTAACTTTATTATTATAGTAGTTGCACGTTTTTTGCTCCTTTTCCATCAAATTTTCACTAAGTGCTTATTTCTTCCTACTTGATCATTTTTGCATGCATCTTTGCCTTTTATTCTTCATTTTTGCTACTCTTTGACTTGTTTTGGTTTGTTTCTTTGACCAAAAACATGCACTGACAGAGTGTCATCACAACCCCAAACTTGAACCGTTATTTGTCCTCAAGTTACTTGTATGCACTGTAATTCTAAACAGAAAACAAGTTGCAACATAAAAATTAAACATCACCATATGAGCTTTTCTTTACATGACCATCATTCTAGCTTTTAAATGCAATCCAACTATTTCATAAAACATCCTCAGTCTTTAACAAGTAATCAACCTATCTCTCATCTCACCATTCCTCACTCAATTGATAGGGTAATCGCCTCAATCAACATGTAAAATATTTTATACTGAGTTTGATCATATTCTAACAGAATTCGTCAAAGAAATCAAAACACACACCTTTGAGGGATTTTTTGGTTGTATCTGGAATTATGTTTTGGTAGGACATTTTTGGGAAAGTAGGTTTAAATCTTTGGAGTTAGGTGCCTAGTTCTTCTTTTGTTATCATACCACTCTTTTCCTTATTAATGGTATTAGAGATATTGCTATTGTGGTCTTCAATATTCATTTTGCATTCTTCTTCTCTTTTTTTTCCTGAAGAAGTTATTTTTAACTTCTTATTTTCTCCAAATTTTGAATTTTGACCGTTTATTCTCTAGTACGCTAACCCAAACTTAAACCTTTCTCACTTTCAAGAGTAACCCCAAACACCCCATACTTATTCTTTTTCATACAACTTTAGAACCAAACATTTCTACCTAACTCCAAAGAAATGGTGGAAAGATGAAAATTTTCAAGTCATATGGCTAATAAATAAGGCTAAGTCACCGAAAGAAGGGCTAGGCTCAAAGTGTTTAGCAACGAACTTAACCTATTACTACAGGGTGGTTAAAAAAGCTCAGAATTTAAAGCAAACAACTGCCTCAGTGTGATCAAACCAGACAAATTGAATCAAAAATAGTTCAAACTTGATAAAATAATAATGCATGGATACACTTAATAAAAGAAATAGTAAACAATGGAATTTATTTGGCTCAAACCTTACTACTTGATGCATCTCAAGCTTGAGTACAAATCAATCGATTCCTTTTTCATCCTTTGCTTTCAATTCGTAACTCATTTTCTTGATGATTAAGTTTCCTCGTAGCGTGCTTTTGATTCATTTGTTCAATGATAAAGTTGCACTTTTTGCAACTCTGAAAGAAACAAGCAGTAGAAAATTCATTAAGTAAAGAAAAATAAAGATAGTGGCTGAGAAACGTGCGCGTGAATGGCTAATTCCTCTTATTAAATCTAACTACCAAAATAAAGTAAATTCTGCAAAAACAAAGAAACTGGTTAGAAAAGATGGGTTACCTTCAATTAAGGCCTTCTTTAAGGCCCTAAGCTTGACCTTTCAATTTTTGTGTTAGGGTGGCATATATGACAAGAAAAATGCATCATCCTTCTTCTTCCTTTTGTTTGGTAGGAGTTCCATTACTTTCAGAAATTGAAGGTTTTTCTTCTATATTCTCTTTAAGTTGATAGTATCGAATAAGGCATAAACCTCATCCAATACTTCATCTATTTCTCCTCTTTTATCAGCCTTATTGTTAAGTGTAGGATTATTATTTTGTTGAAGATATTATAGTTAGATATCTAAGTCTGAACAACTTATTGAAATTGAAGATTCCTCCACAACGATATAATCTTCATCTTGCATTCTTGCTCTTGTCCCACACATCTTTTTCACCTATGTTGCTTCTATTTTTGCTTCTATCTCTTTATTAAGTGTTGTGAATTTTTATTCTCCTTCCTCCTTTTCAATTTCTCCTTCATCAAATACCTTACATTCTTGTTTGACTTCTCTTTCTATTTCCTTATGTCTAGGACTATCTAAAACATTTCCGTCGAAATCCCCACTAGATCTCAGTTTCAATGCTACTTGGCTAGATATTTAAACAAGTTGCATTTCTAAGTTCTCAAAGGATGTTTCCATGCCATTTCACAAGGTTTCTTGATGTATGTTGATTTTCTAAAAATTTAGTTGAGTCATCTTTTTGAACTGAATCAAGGTTTTCTCAAGTTGAGATGATGAATCCTCTTCCCATGAATGATCAGTGTTGATGTAAGATTCTGGTTCTGAAAAATTTCTAGCATTTTCCAGAATGAGCATTTTTGCTGAAAGCTCCTTTATATAAGCTTCAAACTTTGCTAACGTATCATAGATTT